GTCTTCAATATTTTGTGCCAACACTGAATAAACGCAGTAAGTGGCACTCCGATAGTGACCTTATCTTAAAAACAGGGGGTTTAGTGTGAATTGTTGACGAACGCAGCCCATGGAGATACTACCCTTTGGCTCGTATGAAAACCCTTAATTACGAAAAAGACAAAATAGCCCGATCCCTCGTAGTCACGACCCATTCAGGTCAACTAACTGGGCCGGCCGTAAAACTCGTGCCCGTTCTTGCTCCTTTGGGGACGGAGGATGTTCGCGCTTAAATTGCTGACGTCATATGGCACGAAAATTAAGAACAAAAGAAACATTAAGGTAAACAAAAGGCCTTGAAAATAATTGTTGTCGGATTAAGGTCAGTTTGCCGTCTAAAATGTTTACATACATTGGAGACTGTGGAGAACGTTTTTCAATTCATAGTAACCGGAAAATTTTTACATTATATTTTCAGAATTATTGAATTTAAAGTTAATCCGTATACAATAGCCGATAATTTACAGATGTTGAAGCAGGTTTTTTAGACCGAGTCTTACAGTATACGAGATTGCACCACATATGAGAAGTATTTCAACGAAACTTTTAACCCCTCTCTCCCGTCCACTAAAAGCTAGCTTTACATCTAAGTCCAACATTAGAAAATTTGCCTAAAAAACTAAAAAAATATTAACTAAAAATTCATTTGAATTGGTATAAGAGAACGCGTTGTAAAACCACTTATAAACAGTTTGTTCCTGTCAGATATGAAAAAGTACAAACACCAATTTTAAATCACCGAATTAAACACTGAATTGTCGTAGGATAAATTTTCTTGAAAACTAAACATATTTTCAAAAAGATTTTTTGTCAGGAGGGTATTTTGGGGAGGGGATGGAATGAAGCCCTTCTTTCTCATGGAGCCGACTCTCTTCGGCATCTTTAGTTTTTTTTTTACTTTAGTTTTTGAACGAGTGAAATTTATTTTTTTTTCGGTTCACTGCGGTGCCAATACCAGCTTATATGAGAGGTAGCAATCGCCAAAAAAAAACGAATTTTTCAATTGAAGTTATCTATTTTGGCACTTTTGCATAAAAAATCCATGCATTTCATCAAGACTAAGTGACTATGTTGCGTAAAAATCCGCACGGAGATTCGGACCTTGCTAGCATTTTTTAGACATTGAACAGCCGAATGCTCCGTGCCAACCAATGTTCAAAGAGTACATGACAACGGAGCTACCAGTGAAGCTCACCAAAGAAAAAAGCAGGAAACAACACAGCAGCAGGAGCAAGAGGATAGCCCCAAGAAAAAAGTGCTTTACCGACCGGAGAGAGAACAGGATGAAGACCTCAGCAAAGAACTCTCAACGGGGCAAAGACAAACAAAGAGGAACAAGACAACAAACAAATATTCAGCAAACTAAGTGCAGAAAACATCATCAGGTGAAAAAGGGTTTCCCACATAGGAAAACACTACACCATTACCGAAAAGAATAAACCAGAAGAAATTAAACCCAACTGAGAAAACACCTGAACCAACTCGGAAATCGGTGAGAAACCGACAATCACCGACAAACGAGACACTAGGAAACCCCGTACCTATAAACGCTATCGAGAACACATAGGAAACGAATTACAGAAAAGATTTCAACATAGAGTCACTGACAGACGTAACGCTAACAGAAACTGACCCCAATATCAAAAGTTTGATCCACAAGATGGGTTTCAAAGAACAGTCACCAGAGTACCAAGCGTGTACTAATTTTCTAGAAGCAACGAAGCAAAAACTGGGAAAAACTACTGAAGTCGTCGACTTAGTATGTCCCATGAACAGACCAGAGGATCGGGCAATGTCGCAACGTAACCGGCAGACAATCTTTGTAACTCTAGCTCGGCTGCAGAAGTTGAATAACCTTGCTTCTAAACGTTTCTGATTAAAAGATTTCAAAATCGGTCGAAAGAAGAAATCCTCCGTTAAAGTGATGGCGGAGTGTCGGCATATGCGGAGCCTCCCGATATTCTTCAGTCATCAAATACACCGGCAAACTCTTTTTTTTCCGATAAATTTTCTAGCTTTTTCAAGAAACTTCTTAGGCGACATTTGGTCAAAACTGCTCTCTGACATATCTGTATCAATTAAAAGAATGACAGTCAGTTTCTTGGGTTGTCTTGAAATTTCACGCAATATCTCGGTAGGTCAATAAATTAGTGCGACTCGCCAATATATCCTCTTTTTGAGTGAGATTTTCGCGCCGTATTAACATAATTGTTAAATCAACACTTTTCGAAAGCGCCTAACACGCCGTTTTTGGCCTGATCTCAAAATTTTTGCCTACGGCTCAGAACAGTTGGTCAAAACAGGGTCTCTGTAATGATTTGAAGAACTTAGAAAGTGATTTTGGTCCACTTAAAAATTTTGAAAACATAATTTTGAAAACTTCAAGAGAAATCCCCTCGATAAAATCCGATATCCGCCATTGAATTTACACTGCTATTTCAAACTGCCAGATTTTTTTGGGCTCCTTAGTTTTTTTCTCTTTTATCAACTTGTAATCGTAGTTTTCTCAAATTAGGTTATTGTCTCAACCACCAACTTTGATTTTGAGCTTTTTTTCCAACCAACACCAAAGTGGTCCATTATGTGTTCAATTCTTTTTAAAATCTGTTTCGATCTGAATTACGAAATTTCCTGAGTGACTTAAAGGCTCCCTTTCTTGACTGACTTTAATTGGTCCCGTTTTTCAAAACTAAAGGGGAATACATTTTTTTATAAGTTCAACTGCTAAAAGCTTTTTAAAAGGTTTGGTTGTAACAAGTTCTCTCAAAAAGAATTGCTTGACATCCATTGAAGTAATGTCTTCTTTGCTTGTAAGTGAATTTACGGATTGTTTATTTTACTGAAAACTGATGTTTCGCACTCGAAAAGAGCGGTGACCAAATAGACACTATCCAAATTTGGCAAAGGTAAGAGTTTTTTGTGCCTTTCATTTGATTCATCAGGCTGATTCCTTTGAAGAGTTACCAACAAAAAATTAAAAATTAATTTGTTCAAAGGAAGACTTGACTTTGAGAATTATTTTTGAAAAGTTGTGGCAAAATTATTAGAAGTTCAGCTTCAAGCCGACAGATTTCTCTATTATTTTCTCAGCCATCTGTCAGAGAGTTATTGAATTTTCTTCTTGTAATGGTATTTTTAGATTGACGAAGTGATCTCCCAGTCTTTTCAATTCTTCGAATACTTCCACGGTTGACACCGTATATATGAAATTTCCATTGTTTGAAAATAGCAAATATAGATTAAAATTGGTTCTCATTTGAATATAGCGGAAAGCAAAATGAACTTCTTGGCCATGTTCAATAATACTGTCGCCACTATTGCGGCTAATCCCATCAGATTGAGTTTTTGTTGGAGAAATTAAACTGAAATTCTTCCGGTTCCACTTTGACTCATCGTTATACCGACAGCAGAGTTAATAATTAGTTTATGGACATTCTCGTCAAATGCATTCTATGCTGCCTACTTCGATTGGTTCTTCTTATCAATGAGTGGATCTATCCACTTAACTTAACTGTCGAATCTATAACACTCGATTAATGCATATGACTTCTACACCTTATTGTAGATAGAGTTGGTTAGTCGTGTGATGTAGCTTGGAACCTTATTTTCGCAGTAACAGGATCAGCTTGGGTACTTTTGACAAACTAGTGATTTTCTCAATAAAATAACTTTGTGGAGGCGGGCTGGTTGATAATCCTTAGTCTAAAGTTTAGTCAGTCTGCAATTTATTTTGTCTAGTAGTCTACAATTTCATTTGCTTACAAAAACTCGTTCAAGTGCAGAAAAAGATGCTGCATAACCCCTCCATAGAGGTTTTTAGCATCGATGTTAGTTTTGTATGAGGACTCCTCTCTCATATCATAGTCTTTTACTTACTGGTTGTTTGCTTTCCAGTTTCGTTTTGCATTGACTGATCACACGTATCAAACCCTCCAGTATCTCAAGGTGGTCCCGCTCAGCGAGCAGTCGAACTTTTGCCCGGCCTACTTTCAAGAACTCGTCACCGGCTAGGGTGCTTAAAGTGTAGTAGTGTCACAGTCAACTCCGTACTTAATATAACAAAATGAGCGAAAATCTTCAAAGGAGCTAGTAAAAAAACGTCAGTGGCAAAATACATATCGTGATAATCACCTACATAACAAAGGATCTCGCTATACACCCTCTTGGCATTATATGTTTAAATTTGTGGACACTGACTTCCCCAGCGTTGAGATTTTTATTTTACAGCTTTTTGGCAGACAACTTTGACGCAATGAACTAGTCAAAACTAGTATTTTTGTAGCTATATTGATTGAATACCTTGTTTCTTATGGTTTCATTTTTTCCAATGAACGTCTCTTTTTTTTTGAAGAAGTTCTCCAATAGTTAGATTTTATCAACCTTTAGCGAATAAAAAATGTCATCAAAATTGCTTACAACACTTTTTGGTACTTTACCCTAAGATTCCTGAATCACCTCGCCAAACTGGAACTTCAATGAAAGAGAGATTGGAGAATGTTTCAATAAATCAAAGTATGGCTGGAGATACAACTTGGCCTACCATGTTTTTGGCCTACTTTTTTTTGGCCTACCACTTTAAGTTTCCTATTGACAAGGATAAAGATTTTTCCGTTATTCTGAAATTGGAGTCGACAGTGAGCAATTGTATTCTCTCTCTCACTCTTTAAACTAGCAAGAAATTGTTAATATGTCATTTCGTTCAAAGTATTTTGAACCTTTTTAAGGAAAACTTTAAAACATACATTTTTACTTTGACTTCTACGAAAACAATTCTTTTATATGAAAAAATTAGCACTTGTTATGATCTAATCTGATAATTTGTTCCAATTTACCTTGGCTTTTGAACTGTTTGAAGCAAAAAAAAAAAGATTTCATATCTTTCCTTGCAATTTTTTTTAGATTCCTTCTTTCGCTTCTGATTTAAAAATTACAAAGAAAAATATACTTTAGATAATCACCAACGTAATTTAAACAAAAATTAGGCTAAGAGTTGATACAAAATGATACAATCACGATGGAAAACCCTTATAGATTCGATCTTTTTTTTTACAAAGAAACCCTTTTTGTTCTTTTTTGTTACTGCTATTTTTCCGTCATTATTTGTAAAAATTCTGTTTCCCCAACCCCTCCAATCTACTAAAAAAAGGACTTTTTTCAAATCATTTACAGAACTAAAAAGTGGCTGTAATGGCATATCAGTTCAGTTTAGCTTTTTTCCTTCTATCTGCTTTTTTGTTATTTTTCATATCCGAGTAACATTCGTAGTAATCGCTCACAATAATACCCAATCGATTTGATGGCCTAAAATTATGGGGATCGGGCAATGTCGCAATGTAACCAGCAGACAATCTTTGTAACTCTAGCTCGACTGCAAAAATCATATACCCGTTGCTTCTAAACGGTTCTTGTTGAAAGATTTCAAAATCGGTCGAACGAAGAAATCGTCCCTTAAAATGCTGGCGGAGTGTCGCGATATGCGGAGTTTCCCGAGA